AGAAAAGGAAACAAAGAAAATTCAGTTATTTGACATTCATAGCAATGTCTTCAACTCAGGGACTTGATCCTGCAAGTACTGGCTTCTCTATTTAAATTCTTAGTTTCCCTTGGGTGCTCTATGTATTAAATGCTATATTAGACAAAATCACATAAAAAGCAAAGCTTTATCAAGAACAAGTCATAGTGACTATCAGATAAACTGCAGGAAATACAACTGAGTGAAAGACAATCAACCTTGTCCTACCCTTTTCTGAGATTCACTTGAGTCCTCTAGACCTGACAGAACATTGCAGCACAGCCAGCACAATCCTATCAGTTGAAGAGTAATTACATATAGTTAATAATCTGCAGTAATCCTAGATATCAGGGATGGTTTAAATGATTAAATCCAAACTTCTCATTTTAGAAAATAGCTTCCTTTTTTCCATTCTCATATCTTTTTAACTGAGATATTAACAAATATAAATTAATCTACATAAGCTTCAGATCCTACAGATTTTTCTAGGCACTCTATAAAATAATATTAAGAAAAATTTTCAGATTGATTAAACTCTTGGATGATCTACTCAAATGTACAAATATCAAAAAGAAAATTAATTTATTCTTTACAGCCAAAAGAAGAAATTGTGGGTTTCCTTTCTTTTTCTATGAAATGAAATGCAGACAGTCATTCCCTGGGATGAGTGGATCAGAAGAAAGAAATGATGCAGAAATCTTCAAGCTTAAAGAAGTAGACAAACGCAAGTACTAGTACTGCTGTTTTTCCTGTAGACCTCATGCTACTGTAAGCAATATAAGTGGTTAGATGATAGGAGATGGACATAGCGGTGCAGACTTAAATCCTAGCTTCTCAGAAAACTGAGGCAGGAGGGTCACAAGTTCAAGAGCAGATTAGAAAATTTAACAAGACCCTGTCTCAAAATTAAAAATAAAGAGTTGGGAGTACAGCTCAGTGCTAGACTATCTCTCCGCGCAATCTCCAGTACCACATACAAAAATGATCATAATTATAATCGTAACAACTGGAGGATAGAAAACTTGCTTTTATTGTTATCTATGTGAACATTTCCGCAGCACAATCTGGTTCATCAAACTTTCACAGAAGTGTATGACTTTAATCATTTGGATAGAAATTTTGACAGGCTTTATATTTAGAATAGTCTTAGTTTCACAGCAAAATTGAGCAAACTGTGCAAAGCTTTCCCATACACTCCTTTACCCATCACATGTGTGCCCCTCCTCCCCCTTCATCTTGCCCTAAAGCTGTGCATTTGTTATAATTGAATTTAAATTTAAATTTACACAACATTTCAATATCATCCAAAGCCCATCATTTACATCAGGGTTCGTTCTTATTGTTGTACATTCTATGGATTTGGACAAATTTGTGAAATGCATACACTGTTGTAGTCAGAAACATCCTCTATGCTCCATGCTCCACCTTCTCATCCCTCCCTTAACTGGTGTGACCACTGACCTCCACCTTCTCCCTGTTTTTGCCTTCTTTAGAATATTCTGTAGTTGAAATCACACATGACATAACCTTTTCAGACTGACTTCTTGCACTGAGTAATACGCATTTCATTTTTCTCCACGTCTCTTCATTGCTTCATAGTTGATTTTTTTAAGTACTGAATAATATTCCACTTTCTGGATATACTTTCATATTCAGAATGACATCTTGGTTGCTTCTAAGTTTTGCAGTCATGAGAGCAGCAGGTTTACACATATATATGCAGGTTTTTGTACAAATGGACATGAGTTTTCTATTTCTCTAGGTAAATCCCAAGGGCCATGATTACTACATCATATGTCATAAGCACATTTAGTTTTATAAGAAATTGTCAAACCATCTTTTAAAGTGGCTGCATAATTTTGCATCTGTATCAGCAATGAGAGTTTTTTTCACTCTCCATCCTTGTCAGTGCTTGGTGTTGTCATGCTCTGGATTTCAAACAATAACAAGGGTGTAGTAGCATTCTAATATTGTTTTAATGTGCTTTTCCATGATGAAGTGTGATGCGAAGCATCTATATCCACCTGTATATATTCATTGGTAAGGTGTTTCTCAAGGACTTTGACTCCCTATTTGAACTGTACTGTTCATTTTCTTTTTGGTGAGTTTTAAGGGTTTTTTTAATATTTTGCATAACAGTCCTGTATCAGACATGTCTTTTGCAAATACTTCCTCTGAGTCTGTGGCTTGCTTTTTATTCTCTTGAGAGTGTCTCTTTCTCAGAACAGAATAATTTAATTTTAATGAAGTTCAGCTTCTCAGTTATGTTTTCATGGATAATGCCTTTGATATTATATAGTACTAGTCATCATCAAACTCAAGGTCATATACATTTTTCTCCTACGCTACCTTCTAGAAGTACTATAGGTCTGTGCTTTGTACCTAAGTCTGTGATCCATTTTTAGTTTATTTTGTGAAAGTAATAAAGTCTGTGTCTCAATTTTTGCATGTGAATTTCAAGTTGCTCCAGTATCATATGCTAAAAAGGTTGTCTTTTCTCCATTGCATTTCCTTTACTTCCTTGTCAAAGAACAGAGGACTAGAGTATGTATATATTTCTACAGTTTCCATTCTATTCCATTGATCTAGTTATCCATTATCTAGCCAGTGCTACACTGTCCTGATCACAGTAGCTTTATAATAAATCTTGAATCTTTGTTCCTTTCCTTGAATATTGTTTTGACTCACAAAGGCTTTTTGACTCTCCATGTAAGCTGTAGAACCAGTTTGTCAAAGTCCACAAAATAAATTGCTGGGATTTGGGTTGACATTACATTAAATCTATAGAGATCACGTGAGAAAAAACTAAAATCTTAAAGATACTGAATCTTCCTAGCCATGGACATGGACTATTTATTTATTCTGTTCTATTATTTATTTTGTCAAAGCTTTGTAGTATTATCTGTATATATCCTCCACGTATTTTGTTAGATCTATAAGTAAGTTACATATTTATGGAAAGTGGTACTAATATAAATGATTTTTATTTTGAAATTAAAATTCCACATGTTCAATGCTAGTACATACTCAAGTGATTTACTTGTGCCATGAAAACTGATATCATTTTCTTTATTTTGGTAGTTTTCTGTTGATGCTTCTGGATTATCTGTGTAGACAAACATGTCATCTGAGAACAATCGTAGTTTTATTTCCTCTTTCTCAATGTGTAGAACTTCAACTTCCTTTTCTACGTTTATTATTGTTTAACAGCTAATGACCTCTAGTATAATGTTGAATATCGATTGAGAGAGGAGACATCCTTGCCCTGTTCTTGATCTTGGTTGGAAACCTTCACATTATTCACTATTGTGTATGTTTTTAACTACAGGTTTTGGAGAGATATTCTTTATCAAGTTAAGAAATTTCACCTCTGTTCTTGGTTTACAAAGAGTTTTTATCATAAATATTGGGTTCTTTCAAATGCTTTTTCTGAGTCAGTTAATATGATCATGTGATTTTTCCTCTTCACCCTGTTGTGATGCATTTTTAGCCTTAAAATGTTGAACAAAGCTTGCACACCTGAGATAAATCCCACTTAGTCATGATGCATTATTCCTTTTATACATTGGCAAATTTCATTTGCTAATATTTTGTTAAGGATCTTTGCATGTTCATGTGAGATATTGAATTACTGTTTCTTTGCATGTAATATCTTTTTGACTCTGTTATTATAATAATTTTGACCCCAGAGAATTAATTGGGAGATATTTCTTCTGCTTCAATCTCCTGATAGAGATTGTAAAGAATGGGTACAATTTCTACTAAAATAAAATTTTAATCTAATAGTTACAGTATGCAAGATATCATCATGACTAATAATAAGTATTTCCTTAGTAATTATTAGGTAGATAATTTTGATTCTGAATATTTTCTTCTGAAGGAGTAAATTGTAAAGATGTATTATTCAAGATAGACTGTTACTTTATTCATGATAGCTGTCAATTTCTTTCAGCCTAAGTGTGCATTAAAACTGTCTTCACAGCTCATTTCAAAATATGTTTGTAGTGGCACTAGTTAATATTTGGCTACTTAACATATAAATCCCTTTACTATGTTTAAGAACTGCCCCACCATATGAGTCTTGATGGAGAGCAGGATCCATCCACACTATTAAACTCAAATACCACAAAATGGCTTTCCTGACCTTTCTAGTAGTTCAGCCAATAAGATGCATATTAAACTGAAGCTGAAACTCAAATGTTATGAAGAGATTTACTTCGAGTGGAGTGCAGCCAGCTCAGAACTTCCATCAGTGTCTGTGGCATTAATGGCAAGTGTAGTGCTACTCTCCTGGGCCAGTAGCACTGGATGCAAAACTGTAACAAAAATTCACTATCAACTGAACTTTCCCTGCTCAGTTCTGTCGTCCATGACTTCATCGTTGCCCCAGTTACAGAGTGTCTATGTCATTCTTCCATTTCTTGTAGTTATTCTTCATTCTGTTAAGAACTCTGCAAAAAAGTTTCCAGTCAAGCAAAGTTTATTGATGCAGTTGTTAATCTACAGATACATAGACAAAGAAGAATACCTTTTAAGTTTCGAGAAAATAAGTGAAGGACTAATTTAGGAGTAGAACATAGAAAAGTAAATGATTTGAATTAAGTATATAAGGACATAAAAAACAAATCAGCTGTAACTAGTTGATTACAGAATAATATGGAGAGATAATAATCACTTTTGCTTATGAAGAGTTACGCGCCAGGTGTTCTACCAAGCCCTGTACTGACATCTCGTTTAATCTGCATTATAATCTGGGAAGTAGATAGTAATGCTGTGGTGTAGGTAAGAAACTTGAGGCTGATAGAGGTCAGATAATTGCATTTTGTCACATAGTGATTCTAAAGAATATTACCAAACTTGAGTCTGCCTGATTCTAAACTCTTAACTACTGTAACATTTCCGTTATAGTGTACTTATCGCTAAATTGTTAATCACTATGGCTACATGTAGAAACTTCACTGTCACATAGATCAACAATAATTATAATAACAAACCAAATATTGTAAGCAACAAATTTAAATGCTAATTTTGTCTAAGGGTAAATGACCCCTTTGTGAAAAAAATTCTTTCCAATTCTCTAAATAATCATGATGATATGCCTATCGGTAATTCTTTGTAAGATGCTGTGTAGTATATTAAAATATGGTGAGCTGTAAGTCCATGGAAATGCATAAATTCGAAGTCAGTCAAAAGTTTAAACAGTTCAATGTGGCCCACTTTTCTCCTTCCATGTGGAATTCCTTCCATCTTCATGTACTGTGCTGTATCTCCATGCCCTGGCTCAGCAAAGTGGTATATCCAGAGCTGTTCTGCCATATTTCCTGCTTCCATGAAACCTGATGGCAAGAAGTGGTCAAAGTTATCTTAAGACAAAGCCAAAGTTAGAACTGTAGATCTGCCCCACTTTGCCAGCCTTTCTGCCCTTCTGTCAACTCTTTCTTATATTTAAAATCAGCCAACCACATTGGACAGAATCATTCTAGTAATTACTGTTAATAATTTTTGTTACTAATGACAAGAAAACAGAGTCCCTCTGTTTTAGAAAATCAAAGCCGGCGCTGTGTGAGGAAGCCCTTCACTTCTTAGAGACCACAAATGCAAACATTCAAGGCATTGGCTCCTATCTTTATTTCTCCAATCTTTATTTAAATGTTGTTGCTATAGCAATTTTAAACTCACTGTGTTGCAAAAGGCTGTGGGGAATGTGGAGGTGGGGGTCTCACAGGGCCAAGACAGTGATGGGGGGGTTGTCCTGGGGAAGCCAGTACGGAAGGGTTCAAAACCAACTGACCCCAAGTGGCAAACAGACAGTGCCCACTGCCCTCACAATTTGTATTTGACATTCCCAGTCCATTCAAATATGGTAATCAGGTGGAGAAGTGAAAAAGCACATTTTCTTCTCCTAGAAGAGAAAGGCAAATGCTATTGTATACAAATTAAGGTTTCCCAAATTTCAATTTTTCCTAAAGAAAATGTACCACACTTTCTCAAAATATTATTGTTCTTTATTCCTGTGCTTCATAGAATTTAGTCTATATTTGAGTGTGAAAATGGATTACCTTAATGCTGATTCTTATCATGAATGCTCAGTTTCCTTCAGAATCAGCCACATGGGTAACATTTTTAAGATTTTACTTTATAATTGAATCTTGTTGGATTTTTCTACTTAATCATAAGTCACCCTTTATAGACATGAGTCTCATGGCATAGATATTTAAAAATCAAATTCATCTTTGAAGAGCGAAGTTTCACCACTACTGTTAATCAATAAAAATATCCTAGGTTGCAAAGACAAGTCCAGAGGTGACATCAGAAAAACAATCCTTGAGACCACAGTTTTTGTTCAGCTACACTTGAAGTCCATTTTCTAAACTTGAATTGTTAAAGCTGAAAGCAGATAGATCTAGAAATGATGCTAAATGGCACTCATCAGAATTGATCCATGAAAATGAAAAGAAGCAGAATGACCATTAATATTCCTGACTCCAGAGGGAAGGCAGAGTTTTCTGTCAGAGAGTAATGATGTTTACACCAACAGGGTTTTCAAATAAGCCTTGGAATGGGAGAAGTTCCCTGGAAAAGGACTTTGCTTCCTTTGTTCCCAGAAACCTGTCACCTCTACTTGGAAAACTTCACACTCATTGTTTAGGTGTTGCAAATTAATTTTTCTACTTGTCAGCTCAGATATTTTTTAAACCTGTATTTGAAGCAACTAGTGTTGAATTGTCTGGTCAAACAGTCACATACATAAACTTGTTACTCTGTCACAAACCTTTCTTTTCTATTCTAAAGTACAAATGTACATGAGAGTATGTGTAGGCACATTGGTGCTTCTGCATGTTGAGCAATGCTTTTGTGTATGAAGGTGGTTTTCTGTGATAATTATAAGCTTCTAAAGAGAAAATGTTCTCATTCATAAAATGTATCAGTATTCACATTTTGTTTAAGTTTGACTATTGAATCTATAAAAAATTTTCTTACATCTTATTAAATTATTTTTAAAGACAATGCCTCTTTATGTTGTAGAAGAAACACATGACTTCAAAGAGTTTTCCTGTTCCTCACTTTGTTTTGGCTTGGAGCTTGGGTAGGGGTTCCTCGTGTTGTGTGATTTTCTAAGAGAGGAGGATAACGTTTTTGTGTAGTTCTGTTAAATTGAAATTAAGGAATCTAAGGTGTTGCTAGACTTTGAAGGTAATATGGTCAAGTTCCAGTGACACTACATTTAGATAATCCACCTTATTTGGATTTTGTCTCCACTCTGAATTGAATTAATATTGAACTGATGGTTTATAACTTTAATTTCTTCCCACCAGGATAAAAGACCTTCAACTGTGCTGTCATTCTTCATGTGAAAGGATTGCACTTCCTCTTCATTCTGAGCATTTTCTCCACACACTCCCAGTGCGGAACCACTGAAGATGCAGAGGTCATAAACCTTCCCAGTGCTCTGACTGAGGCCCCGCACCCTTAGCAGGGAGAGTCAAGCTAAATAAACTGCTGAAGCAAAGCCCCCTTTTCACACATTTGCAGAAATGGGTAGAAGAGGACTTGTTTGAAGACTACCACTGTCTCATCACTGGTTTCATCCAATTGGTCCACAATGGCCAATTAATTTTAACAGAGAAGCGTTCTTTTCACTCATTTCCTCATTTTTATTCTCACCATGCTATTGCTAACGCTCAGGCCTCCTCCATGTCTCACCTGGGCTGATAGCTTAGCTGCCTGGTGAATGTCTCTTCTTCCAGCCATACCACCCACCTCCTTTCTGTCATCATCACAGCTATCAGAGGACTCTCCCTAACACCCTGACCATGGCTTCATCACATTTCCTGTGTTCTCCTTCAAGGTCATAATTGTTTTTCTGTTCTCCACATAATAACACCAAGGCTCAGAGAGGACAGTTAACCTCCCAAGGTTGCCTACCTAGTATGTGGAAGAGCTGGAATTAAAGCGTAGGTTTGCCAGCGTCCAGATGCCACACTGCACAACATCCAGATCCAAGGATCGTTCTCCAGCCTCATCAGCTGCCGTTTCTCTTCCTGTACAGTGACATGCAGCAATTTGTGCTCTCTTCAGTTATGATTCTGTTATACAAAGGTGATCAAAACATACAGAGAATGCTTCAATTTGTATAATGTACCACAGTAAAAGACACATTGTCATTAATACCCTTAAAAATATTACTCCTCTTTTTTTTTTTTTTTTTTTTTTTTTTTGCTGCCGGGGATCGAACTCAGATCCTTCCGCTTGCACAGCAGGACGTGAAACCACTGAGCTAAATCCCCGGCCCTCCTCTTTTTGAACACACTTATCCCAGCTTTCTTGACACTTTGTGCAGCAGTTCTGGAGGTACTCTTTCATGAGTATCTTTACCAGATGTGATTAAAAATACAGTGAATCCTGCCCACAGAAAGGCAGGTTCATAAAAACATTATATTATCAGGCCTAGTAAGATGGTGTACTCCTGTAATCCCAGCACTCAGGAGGCTGAGGCAGGAGGATTGCTGCCAGCCTGGGCTACATAGTAAGTTCAAGGCCATCCTGAATTGCACAGCAAGAATCTCCTTCCAACAAAACAAAATGAAACATTACATTATGTCTTTATCCATTTTCTTCACCAATCTGGCACTCTGCGACTTCAGGCTCTTTCTTAAAGTCAAGATGGCCCCAATAGGTAAATCTTTTGAATCAGTTGAGGAGACTGAGGCTGCCATGACAGTGCAACCAAACCCCTGAAGAAGGACTCCCAGAGCTGCTGCAGAAAGTGGCAAGAACAATGAGACAAGTGTGCTGGAAATGAAGCAAAGTATTTTGAGGGAAATTAATGGTAATATATCTTTAACTGTTATAATTTTTTTTAATTTAAGTACCCACCCTATTTTTGACCACACCTTGTATTTCTTTTCTCTCTGGACAAAATATCTTTTTTCAGTTTTTTCTTAAGATAGTAACATTGAAGGCAATAATAAAACACTATTTTGTTTCCTTAGGCGACTATAACAAACTACCACAAACTGGGTGACTTAAAGCAACATGAATTGTATTTTCCTTCAGTTCTGGTGGCCTGGAGTACAGAAGCAAGGTGTCAGCGGGGCTGTCCTCTCACTGCCAGCTTCCAGTGCTGGCCCACGGCCCTCAGCATTGTCCCACATGCATTCGTATAACTAATCTTCCTCCCCTCTGTCCATGTCTGTCCTTTCTGTGGTGTCTACTGTGTATCGCTCTATGTCTTTTCATCTTGTAAAGACTCCTTTGGGACTAAGGGCCCCCCTACTACAGTGTGGCCTCGCCATAACTTACTGTTAGGTGGGAAGACTTCAGCAGGCCTGAGCCACAAAGGGGGAGGGGAGTCCAACATGGTTTGCCAGGGACAGCTAAGTACCGAAACAAGACTCCAGTGTGTAACACACTTATAATCATTTGTTAGGTCTCAGGCCTAACACAGTGCCACAGAGCACAGTGACATTTTAATGTTTTACTAGCATCCTGCACATTCCTTCCACTATCTGGCCATCTGGCCCACTGTTTCCAAAACAAGGCACACAGCATTCCTGAGAGCCCTGGCTGGTGGCCTACACCCAGTGGTATCAGAAAGGGCAGAATTTTTTTTTTGTTGGGTTTGCTTTTGGTTTTGGTTTCTTGAGACAGGGGTCTTGCTAAGTATCTGAGGGTGGACTTGAAATCACTGGGTAGCCTGCCTTGGCTTGACACTCACAGTAAAAGCCTCCAAGCCTCCAAGATGGCTCAGCCTCCCGCTGGGATTTTAGGCACATGTGTGCTGCCACACCTAGCTAGAAGGGAGAGCATTTTTTAAAGATCCTCCCTCCTTGGGCTGAGACCTGATTTAGGGTTTTACATGATTAAGGTCCCTGAGGGAACACTGACCAGTTGAAAGGAACAGGAAAGACATTTTTAGAGATCGACATTCTAAGTTAACCCCTAAGGGAAAGGGTAGCTTCTCGAACCCCAGGAGTAATTCTGTGTGCAAAAGATGACATCCGAATTCGCACTCAGTCAGCTGCCTTTGTGGCACTGCTCATCTTCTGGCTTGAGTGGGACATTCCATATCTACTGTGCAAAATTCTGCCTTTACTTCTACATACCCTTTGTGTCTTGACTGAACACAAAGAACTAGGGACAAAAGAAGTGAAGAACCTGCTCCTCACAACATCAGGACCTGGGCTCCCTGAGACATTACATCTTGGCTACATCTGTAAAGATTCTATTTCCAAATAAGGTCCCACTCACAACTTCCAGGTAGGATTTCAACACATGGGTCTGAAGACACAACCTACATGTAACAGTAAATAATAGTAAAATACTAGCAAATTATTGTTGCCATAGTAACTACCAAATCCAATTCTCACAGTCAGCTGGTAAAATTCAGTTAAAGTGTTATTTTCTTTAGCAACTTTCCAGTACTTCCTTTCCTTCTCCCAATTTAGGCAAAGAGAGATACTGCTTCTTTTCAGCTCTAGACATTTCTGAATATTTCTACCATAGTAGTTAGATGGGTTACAGTTATTTACATGCAGATCTCTTCCTTTCTGGAATGAAATCAGAGATTTTTGTCTCAACTGGGTTTTTAAGCTTAGCACCTTGCATCATGACTAGAATACACCAGTCATGCATTAAATACAAGTAGTTGCTTAATTAAATTGACTGTCTGCCACATTGTCACATTGCTAAATACCATAATGCTAACAGGCTTGCATGTATTAAGTACTTATTATGTGGCTAGGAATTGTCAAATTATCAAGAACTGTGAATAGTCTAAGATTTTTTTTTTCTACTTGCAAGCTAACAAGTTAGCCTGTCAAAGTTTCACAGATGCAAGCAGAAAAAAATACACTTCAGGGTCACAGACAGAGGGCTTTATTCCTCGTGGCAGAGCATATAGCACGACCTTCAAGTTCCATCTGTCCTTTCCATCTCCCAGCATCTCCAGGAGTGAGTCAGAGGTAGTTTTTTATGTACGCCTTATACACAGTAGGTTTGGATCACGGCCGACAACCCTCAAGTTTGGGAAACTGGAATGTTTTAAAGCAAGTTGCCACCAAGTTTGCCTACCCTTAGTCCTAGAGGGAGATCTTATCATAATAAAGGTGACAATCCTATCCCTGCATAATGATGAGAGTCATCCTCCCTCCCTCAGAAGGCTGTTTCCTATGAACATCCCTGAAGTATAGTCCAGAACCAAAATTAAAGTAGGGCATACAGAAGAGCCCTGGCGAATTGTCTCCCAGCAATAAGTGGTGCATATTCATTAACTCCTTCTTTACTAGAACCTCATTTTATCCCCCTTTATGGATAAGCAAATAACACAACTAGGTGGTGATGTAGACAGCAAGTTGCATGACACATAGCGATTAGATGAGTTTCCTTTACCTGATTTCCTTATTTTTAAGGGTTTCAGAAAATCTTTATATCTCTACATTTTGATACGATGGATGTTTACTTTGTTTCAGGAAATATCCCATGTGATTTTACCCTCCTGAAAATAACTATAAAATACAGATATTAAGGAAATAAAAACTGTACCTACCTTATTGAGGTGCTGTAGATATACAATGAATTAATTTCCACAGTTCTCAGTCTTCACTGAGTGATCAATCAGTCACGGGTACTATTTTGAAGATTGTAAAATGAGGCAGAGAATGATTAGATGCTCATATAAAGTTACAAACTTATAGGCAGCAAAGTTGAGACTGAACAAAACATGTCAGACCCCAGGATCCGATCTCCTGAACACAGTAATATAATAGGGTCGTTCATTGCGTTTGCCTGTGCTGCTCTTTGTTTTGCCCCATATCATCTCTTCTGCATGGGACTTTTCTCCCCTGGAAACTGATACTGGCTCTGATTCCCTTTCTTCCTTGACTCCTCATGTGCCCTGTGGATCCAGCCCAATGACACCTCTCTATAGACTCAGGTGCTTCTCACGCTGGAAAGTGCAGACTCTGTGTGCTATGGAATGAACCTACTGCGTCAGAAACAGCACTGTAATGAAACAGACTGAAACGAAACAGAGTCAAGCAAAGCCAGAAACGTGTAGAGTGAGAGAAATGTCAGAGTGCGTCACCTAGGACAAAGGCACATACTGCGTGTGTTTGTGTTGTGCATGTGCGCACCCAGGATCCCAATGTAAACTCAAAGGTTTGAAAGCCACTGCAGTAAAATTAATATGCAAAAATCCCTTTACTGGTAGAACCTGTTCACTTTGGGATCTAAATGTCTGGTCTAAATCTTTCATTATTAATTCCATTCCCTCTTCTAATTCTTTTTAAGGCATTAAAATGGCAACTACTTTACTCTAACCTACTTCCCTCCTCCCCGGTGTTGATGTCCACTGGCAAATTTTCTCATGGCCAGGCTACCTTGTAACACATTAGACAGTAACTCACATACCCCACCTTCTTACATGACCAAGGTAAGATCTTGATCATGTAAGAAGGTTGTAAAAATCTGGCTTATGCACTAGGACAGTCTAAGAAAGCCTATCATTAATAAGAATAAATCTATAATCTTCCTTTTCCAAGATATAAACACAAAAATTCAATTTAATGAAAACTTTTCCTAGGACACCGTTTTCTGTGGTTTACACACCCAGAGACTCCTGCTTAATGAAATTCTTTGTAATTTCCTTATATATCAGGATCCATCCTCAAGGGCATTTACTTAGTTTCCACCTGGAATCCATTAAGAATCATTCATTAATCTACAACTTATCTAACTTTTTCCAGTGCAAGTATTTCCTTTGATGGAATAGTCATATCCTTCAAACCTGCATCTGCCCAGCCGAACATGGGAGAATCAAAAGAGTGCAAAACATGGTTCCCACTCCAGACCTATGCACAAAACATGGATACATGAGGCTCCACTATGGCTTAACACCAGTAGTCCAGGGGTACTACGGGCTGAGTTGTGACCCACATCATATTTCAGAACGTGACTCTCTTTGGAGGTAATTAAGGTAAGAGGATATGATTAAGACTTTTATCCAATATGACTGGAGGCCTTTTAAGCAGAGCTTAGGACCAGGACAGAGAAAGAAGGAAGATGGCATGAGAACAGGGGATGAAGGTACCTATCTGTGAGCTGGGGAGAGACTAGAGAGTAATAGCTGCTAAATTTTCAATAAAATCCATCTTAAACTAGTAGTGGCCTTGAAATAAACACAGTGATCTTTGAATGAGTTCTGCATACATTTTTTTTCTTTTTCAGAATGAGCAGAGCACGGTCAGGTTTCATGTCGTTAGGGTGAAAGCCTCCTCTCCAGGGAGTCCTAATGCATGGGCTCAGCCTCTTGTGCCATTGGAAGCCAGGCAGGAAGGGGTGGTGAAGACACAAAAGAATGTCTATACTCTGTGTGACCCCACAGGGAATACAGAGGTCTGGAAGCCTAAGATTTGTCTTCAGCAATGCTCACAACAGTCTCAGAATTTAAAGGGGAAAGACAGAGGCATGGGTTGGGGGCTCCCATGTTTAATAGTCTGGGTCATCTCCATCTGGCATCTTCTAGGTTGATCATTGCCTTGGGTCATTCTTTTGTCCCAGCCGTGCAGCACTTTGTTGACATGAAGAAGGCCACTGTTTCTTGGGAGTTAGTTTCATTACTGGTCATCAGATGGTCATCAATCAGACCTGTTGTTAATGGCACTCAAGGTAACTGTAGGGAAGGATGACTCAAGAGAAATCAGAAGGAAAAAAGACAAAAGGCAAAATGGAGTCAAAGAAACAAAATGGAGTGAGTTAGGTCAGTGACTGCAATCTCCTTCAGTGTTGTATCAGTAAGGCCTAAATAGTCACAGTAGAAATTTGATTTCCTTATGCAGTGATCTTTTCAATCAGACTCCTTATGCCTTAGTATTGTGTAATCTCTTCTTCCAGACATTATTTTTTTTATTTTTTATTTTTTGGTACCAGGGATTGAACTCGGGTCCTTGCGCTTGTGCAGCAGGCGGCAAAACCACTGAGCTAAATCCCTGGCCCCTTCCAGGCATTATTGATTGTCTCACAAATAATAGTGTCAGGACTATATGTGTGTGTAAATAAGATGCATATATGTCAATATAGTGTATCTATATATAGTCACAGTATATATTTATTCAATACATATATGTATGTCAACAAAATATATAATTTTTAATGTAAAAAAGTAATCCTTTCTTTATTTTATTATATTCATACACGAATATATATGAAAATGGGTGAGAAAGTCTGTGACTTACTACATTCATACCAAGTCTCTATACATTTGCTAAAAAGACAATTGGAGTTAGCATGATATTGAAGAGAATAAGAATTTATTTATAAGTGACAGAAAAGTAATCACACTGTTGTTAGCATATTTAATAGCGCCCAAACACTAGACCTCAACCTGTCTCCAGTTAACAGAGATCCTCTATTCCTTTCCCTATGGGAGGTCAGCGTCCTAAGAAATGGAGATGTAAATATTATACTGCAAACATGTATGAATAAAAATCAATCAATTAATTAGATGATTTCTTTTTTTTTTTTTTTTGGTACTGGGGATCGAACTTGGGTCCTTCCGCTTGCCAGGCAGGCAGAAGAACCACTGAGCTAAATCCCCACAGCCTCAATCAATTAATTAATCAAACAATATATACATAGAGGTTATTCTAGACCTTTTTTTCTAAACATATTTTTTAAAAGTCTGTAGTTCTTTAACCAAAATATTTTTACCTACTGAGCATTTAAATGTGTCATCTTCAAGTAAGGGAAAACACTACTAGCTAAAATGAAGTATTTTTCTGATAAAATGAAAAGCCAGTATTTACATTAAATTTTAAAATCTCATCATTTCCCATGTGACATTTCAAGTATACAAATTTACATATGATAAAATTAACATTTTATCAATTTTGCTTTCTTTATGTCTATTTCTGAGCCTAAGAACAATAATATCTTCAAGATCATACGATATCTTCTGTTTAACATTTATGTCATCATTTCAAATGAGATCATACAAACTGAATAACTTTCTCCTAAGTGCACCATGACCTGGAATCATTTATTTGCTGTCATAGAAATATAATTTTAACTGTTCAAAATAATGATTTATCATCTATTTAGAAGATTTTAAATATGAGAGATGAAGAGACAAAGTAGGAGGAGGTTCTATACTTTGATAAGCAGAACTAAGTGGCTGGATTTACCTGTGTAACTGTAGGTTCAAAAATACCTCCATAGGCCCTGGGATTTAGCTCAGTGGTTCCACTGTCTGCCTCGAAAGTGCAAGGTCCTGAGTTCAATACCCAATATAAAAAAAAAACAAAAAACCTCCATAGTGCCCATAACACAAATTTTCAACTTTTATTTTTATAATTCATTAATTTACTTTAAGAGCTTTTATTATTTAATAATATCTACAGTTTAGTGAAAGCTTACTCAATGCCAAACACTATGAAAGTGTCATCTTATTCAATCCTCACATTCACTGAAGAATTACTCTCATTATGTAATAGATGAGAAAACTACAATACAAAGAGGACATCTTGCTTAAAGTCACACAGATAGGAAGCTGGGAAATTTAATTCTGAGCCCGGGTCTGTCTGACTACAGAATTCATATTCTTCTATCCTCTATAGAGTTTTTCTTGAGCATTTCATCTCCAAGTGAGAGAAATTTGAACTAGCTTCAAAAAAGCAAGAAGGAGGAGAGAGTTTTTGGCTCAAGAAAGTAAAGAAAAGACTTGGTGAAGTTTACCTCAAGGGCAAGTAGATTTTGTGCCTGAAGCAAATTCAGAACTTTGTCTTAGCTCAGACTACCCTACCGGAGGTTCCATTCTCTTCTGCAGACCAACTTTCTCCATAAGGGGGGTGGGGGGTGGGGTAGGGGATGGCTTTTGACCAAACCAGGTTTCGTCTTCTTTATACGTCAGAGATTACCAATGGGTATGTCTGACAAACAATGACTGTGCTTTATCTAAATATCACCAAAGAAATTAATCTTTCCTCTTCCCCATGTCCAGTACGAAACAAGATTAGAGAAGAAGCCAGTGTTAGGTGGAGAAAACCATTGTGAATGTCAAAAGGGGCCCTGAGCTTAATGGTGGCAGCAGACTAGGTAAGAACAGAAATTAAATTTCAAGGAACCTGGGATCAACTCAGGTGCTATGACTGCCTAACTATGATTTTTGCAAACTGCTTGACCACTCTAAGCATTCATTTCTTTATCTGAAAGTAGGAGTGTGCAACCTAAAGGAATTAATGCATAAAAATATAAAGTTAATAACAATCTCAAGAACTAGAAATGGGTATTCAAGCTAAGATAGGATAATAATCTGGTGCATATTTAAATTGATAATCTTAAAATATTTATTTAACTTTTATTTAATTGGAAGAAGGTAAGTATTGTGGGTCACTTCAAGCTCAGGTTCAAAATACTGGACATAGTGTATGCATTAAAATGACAGTATTAGTGTATTGGAGTTGTATTTCAAGTTTGTTTACTTCTAGTATCTAACATTAGTATGGAGTTTAATTATGAGGCGTGATAAATAATGTGGAAGTTTATATAACAAATTTTATTACAGTAAAAGACATATTGCCTTTTATCCCACTCAAAATCCTCTCTCCCTTCCAACACACTTATCTTGTAGTTCTTGCCACTTTCCGTAGCAGTTCCGGAAGACCTTTTCTTGAGTATCTTCAATTGCACTGTCATGGCTACCTTGATGTCCTGAGCTGATTCAGGATACTTACCCTTCTGGTCATTTTGA